CACGAGTGCGGCGAGGGAGGCGAGTACGAGAGCCTCGTGTTGGACAGCCCGCGCTTCGCGAAGCGCCTCGTGCTCGAGGACGCCACGGCCGTGCGCCTCGACGACATGCCCAAGGGCTGCGGCTCCGTCGGCGTGCTCTCCGTCAAGGCCTGGAACGTCGCGGAGAAGGAAGAGGACGACGAGGAGGAGGACGAGGAGGAGGACGACACGGACGATGCCGGGGAGGAGGAACGGAGCGACGTCGAGGACATCACCGAACACCCGCAGCTCCCGCCGCCGCCGCTGGACACGGCGGGCTACGTGCCCGCGGCGCGGCCGCCGCTCCGCGCGTCCGGCGGCCACGGGACCCGCGGCGTCACTTGCGTCGACGCCGCGCGCGCGGCGACGTCCCCGGCGCCGTCCGCCGACGCCAAGGCGGCGGCCGTCGCGCAGATCACGGCCGCGCTCCGCGACGTCGCGAAGGCGCTCGCGTCCCGGGACCTGACGCTGCGGGACGTCTTCTTCGTCCATTTGTACCTCAAGGACTTGGCGCACTTCGGCGCCGTCAACGAGGCCTACGTCGCCGAGTTCCAAAGGTCCTTCGCCGAGGGCGACAGCCCGGCGCTCCACGGCGCGCGGCCGCCGAGCCGGTCCTGCGTCGCGGCGCCCCTGCCGCCGGGCGTCGAGGTCCTCGTCGACGTCGAGTGCGCGCCCGAAGGGCGCGAGGCGCTCTACGTGCGGTCGCTGAGCGAGTGGGCGCCGGTCTGCATCGGCCCCTACTGCCAGGCGAACACGCTGCGCGGCGCTCTGGTCTTCGCCGCGGGCCAGATCCACCTCGACCCGCCGACGATGACGCTCGAGGCCGGGTCGCTCGCGAAGAACCTCCGGACCTCCTTCGCGCACGCGGCGTCCGTGCTGGACGCGTGCCACGCCCGACTCGGTCTCTACGAGTCCGACGACGAGTGGGACGCCACGGTGTCCCTCGTCGTCTACGTCGTCGGGCACGGCTCGATCAACGCGTCGTGCGAGGCGGCGGGCGTCACGAAGACGGACGCGCTCGTCGTCGAGGTCCCCGCGTTGCCCATGGGCGCGAAATGCGAGGTCGAGGTCGTGGCGGCGACGAGGCGCTTCGCGCCCTTTCTGCGGCGGTGGAAGGCGGTGAGTTGGACCGCGACGGTCGCGCCGCGCTGCCTCTGCGCCGCCGTCGCGTGGGCGGAATCCGCGGCGTCCGTCGACGCCGCCGTCCGCGAGGTCCTGGCGGGGTGCGAGGCTGCGCTCGAGGCGGCGGAGCTCCGCCGCGAGCACTGGTGCCGGCTCCGCGTCTTCGTGGTCGGCGCCGCGGCGCTCGACGCCGTCGAGGCCGCGGTCTTCGCCGCGCTCGCCGGCGGTCCCGTGGACCCGCCGGCCGTGACCGTCGTGCCCGTGACGTCCCTCTGCGTCCCCCTCTCGTCGCCCCCCCTCGCGGCCCAGGTCCTCGCCTGCGACCTCGCGAAGCTCGACACGGAGCTCTGGCTCCGCGCGGAGGCGCCCGTGGGGCCCGCGGTCTAATTACCCGTCCCGGGACGCGCTCCGCTCCTCGCAGCGGCGCTTGAACTCGTCGATGAGCGAACTCGCGTCGTCCTGCGTCTTGGAGAACGCGTCGAAGAGGTCGCCGCCCTTGGCGTCGGCCTTGGGCTTCGCGCGGCGCCGGTTCGCCTCGTGGGCCGTCTTGAGCGTGCGCACGAGCGTGAGCAGCTTGCGGAAGAGGTCGAAGGGCTGCTTGGAGTCGTCGCCGAAGGCCGCGCGCGCCGCGTCGAGAGCGGCTTCCGCGTCCGCGCGCGCGGCCTCGGCCGATTCCGCGTCGGCCGCGAGCGCCGCCGCGAAGCCGCCGAGGCGCTCGCCGAAGGCCGCGCGGCCCGCGGCCGAGTCGCGCTGGAGCAGGCCGTCGAGCGCCCGCTTCGACGCGAGCCAGGCGCCGAGGTCCGCGTCGACGGCCGGGAACGACCGCGCGCGCGCGGCCGCGTCGAGCGCGGGCTCCAGCGCCGCCAGGCGCGCGACGGCGCCCGAGTCGCGCCGGTCGACGCCCGCGACGACGTGCATGGCCAGGGTCGTGCCGTCGGCGCCCTTCGTCGTCGCGAGCTTGGCGACGCCGTCCAGGTCGAAGCCGCCGGCCTCGCCCCGCGCGGAGCCGCCGTTGAGGTAGTTCCCGACGGCGAGCGCCGCCGCCAGCGCGAGCCGCACGGCGTCGCTCTCGCGCGCCGCCGCCGCCGCCGCCGCGACGGCGCCGCAGGCGTCGAGCACGTCGCCGAGCTTCTGGGCCGCGACGTCGCGGAACTCGAGCGCCGCGACGCGTTGGGCAAAGTCGGGCACGCGCGCCGCGTGGCAAAAAAAGGCCTCGACGTCCCGCAGCGCCGTGATGGACGGGTCGTAGTCCTTGGCCGCGTCGAGGTCGTCGCCCGAGGGCACGGGGATCAGGTCGGCCTTGTTGGTCAAGACGTCGTCGCCGTCGGCGACGGCCCTGGCTAATTCCGAGGGCTTCAGGCGCAGCTTCTTCAGCGCGATGCCCACGTTCTGGGCGACGCGCGGGTCCCCTAAGGTCGCGGCGACGGCGTCCTCCCTGAC